GACTGTAAGTGCCCTGCAAAGTGGACATTACCGGATATTCCTCCATGATTCCAGTTTGAAGGGAGCGTATATGTTCCATACAAAGGGCATTTAAGTGTGCGAGACGTGAATTTTGCAAAACATGCAGAGCGGGGGTACGCGAGGACTGGAATTGAAAACCGCTGGTCTAGAACATTTCTTACAAATAACAACATCACGTAGCTGGGCGCCGCGGACAGACGCCGAACAGCGCCACCGGTGTGCCTACACTCATAGAAAATAATGTGTTCGAATTTTAAAGCCGTGGCGCGACGCTGCGCTTCTCGTCCGGTGTGCATCCGCCTGAAATGCAGTTTTTTTCACCTCCGTGCCCAAACGTCTTTGTTTGGGCTTCCGAAAGCGGATGATGTCAGGAAACAGTGGTTGCAATTTAATTTTAAACTCTGTTCCTGAGCATTATAACCCCAATTTGCTATTGTGTGCTGCGCATTTTACTGAGGACAGCTTCCACATCACAAGTGAGAAGTGCCGGATTCGCCAAAAGCTTTTTTTGAAAGACGGAGCAAGGGGCCGGCAGTACTGAAACACCGTCTAAGCTGTTCGCCAATCACAACGCACTGGGACAGCTAACCAATCACAACACATTTTGTTTTTTGGAAGGCGGACCTTCATCAAAGCCGGAACTAATCGAGCCGTTTGTGCCAGGATGGGGAGAAAGGTATTTTAATGCGTTTTTCGAACCACCAAGCATGAGAGCATGTTCTAGTACACCCCCAAAATCAAAATCAAGACTTTGTAAAAGAGCATAATAGGACCCCTTTAAGATAGGCCTATAGCTAACTGTGATTACTATAATACTCACCAAGACAGGGACTTTGTCATAATTTTGTTACATAAGATAAGCAAGATAAAGACGCGAAAGAGAAGTTCAGCCAAAAATAAAAATTCTGTCATAATTTACTCACCCTCAGGTTGTTCTAAAGCAAATTTCTTTCTTCTGTTGAACATAAAAGATGTTCTGAAGGATGTGGATAACCAACGGTTGCTGGTCTGTATTGACTTCCATAGTATGGAAAGACAAATACTATGGATGTTAATGGCTACCAGCAACTATTTGGTTACCCACATTCTTAAATATATCTTCTTTTGTGTTCAGTAGAAGAAAAACACCATACAGGTTTGGACCAACAAGAGGGTTGAGTATATGATGAAAAACATTATTATTAGACTCTATTAGACAGTGCATGAGTACTGATTTGAGTTCTTTTTCACATCTACTTGCGCTTAAATGGTTTAATAATTGTTTACATTTTTGAACTGGCTGGCAATACTTAAAAACACAAGCAAATGATAAACTTTCATGATGGCGCAATGACAATTACATCAACAGTTCCAAGAGTCTTTCATGCTGACCCTTGCCATCAGACAGTCCTGCATACTTATGTACTATCTTTAATTCTTAATTTTTCCTCACACTCTCTTTCCCCTCATCTTTCTTGCCTTGCAGCTCTATTTGTTTCAATAAGTGTCGGCCATTTATTTGGATCACGAAACTGAAAGCAGTCTGGAATCCACCACTGAGACATGTACAGCATGTGGGTGCATATCTGTACTCACATGAATGAGATTGCAGATGGAGTGTGTGTGCAATGAACAACAGATCAAGCTACTGTTTTACCTCAGCTCTCTGAATGAGCTATTCAGAAATGCACGTATTTACATATGGCTGCCTCTTATTTTTATTTTTAAAATAAAAATGTATTAACCTGGTATATTTATTGACACGGTATTTGATTTTTTGTCGCAGAACTCTTTTTGTTACTAACTCTAACTTTTTAATCATCATGGTGACAGTTAGGTTCTTTAGTAGGCTATTACAAGTATTATATAACGAAAACTTCTGTAATATATTTGTGACCCTGGACCACAAAACCAGTCATAAGGGTCAATTTTTCGAAATTGAATTTTGATTTATACATATTATGGAATATTATCAATGGAAAGCTTATTATGAAAAAAAGCAGATTATGATAATCTGAAAGCTGAATAAATAAGATTTCCATTGATGTATGGTTTGTTAGGATAGGACAATATTTGGCTGAGATACAACTATTTGAAAATCTGGAATCTGAGGGTGCAAAAAAAAATCTAAATATTGAGAAAATCGCCTTTAAAGTTGTTCAAATGAAGTTCTTAGCAATGCATATTACTAATCAAAAATTATGTTTTAATATATTTACAGTAGGAAATTTACTAAATGTCTTCATGGAACATGATCTTTATTTAATATACTAAAGATTTTTGGCATAAAAGAAAAATCTATAATTTTGACCCATACAATATTTTTTTTGGCTATTGCTATAAATATACCCCAGCGACTTAAGACTGGTTTTGTGGTCCAGGGTCACATTTTAGCGGTACTGTATTCCATATTGTGTTAAAGAGAATCTGACTTTTCTTACAAATGGAAAGGTGTGCATTTAAATAATATTATATCTAGGGAATAATATTTATAACTGCCTTCATTAATGCCATTAAAGTCGGTAATCAAAAATTGTGTGGTTGTTTTAAAATGTCCTTGTGTTATTCAGAATATTGACAAAAATTGAAACAGCCCATTGTAGGAATTAATGCATTGATATCATCCTCATCATCTGTTTATATTATCTTTATTACCTGTTTATTCGTCTTTTTTGGCAGACTGCACGTTCTCAGCGTGTGGATTTAAAGTAAAATGGGTTTTTTAATTTTTTTTATCAGATTATTAAAAATACTGTCATTATGAATAATGGTTGCCATATCACCCTGTAGCCCAAGACTGGTTGCCCACTGAAGCTAAGCAGGGTTGAGCCTGGTCAGTACCTGGATGGGAGACCTCCTGGGAAAACTAGGTTGCTGCTGGAAGCGGTGTTAGTGAGGCCAGCAGGGGGTGCTCACCCTGTGGTCTGTGTGGGTCCTAATGCCCCAGTGTAGTGACGGGGACACTATACTGACAAAAAGCACCGTCCTTCGGATGAGACGTTAAACCGAGGTCCTGACTCTCTGGTCATTAAAAATCCCAGGATGTCTTTCGAAAAGAGTAGAGGTGTGACCTCGGCATCCTGGCCAAACTCGCCCATTGGCCTCTGACCATCATGGCCTCCTAACAATCCCCATATCTGCTGATTGGCTTCATCACTCTGTCTCCTCTCCACCAATGAGCTGGTGTGTAGTGGGTGTTCTGGCGCAATATGGCTGCCGTCGCATCATCCAGGGGGATGCTGCACACTGGTGGTGGATGAGGAGATACCCCCTGACAATGTAAAGCGCTTTGAGTGCCCAGAAAAGCGCTATATAAATGTAATGAATTTTTTTTTTAAATTTATTTATGAATAAGATTGGTTGATCTGTTATGCATATTATTTACATATGTTTATTGACCGGGGCAGGCTCAGGGCACATAAAAACAGAGATCTGGAACTAGGAAGGCCTCAGGTGTCTGCTCTGAGACCGAGGCATCCTTGGCGGCAGTGAATAGTAACATCTGTGGCGGGAGTGACGGTAACCTCTAGGCCCCAGCTCTGGAACCCTTTGAGAGGAACCTTCTTGGATCATTTCAGGTTCTATTCACAGCTGCAAAAAGAATGTCTGTGAGTGGACCAAGAAAGAGATGTCTGGGACCAGAGTGGCCTTGGTGCCGGCCCTGCACTGAGGATCTTTGAGTGCTGATTTTGAGACAGTTTCCTTTACACTAGCAGTGACAGCACTGGGAAGGCCCACACTGTAAAAAAAAATTCTGTAGTTTTTGCAAAATAATTTTGGCAGCTGTGGTTGCCAGAATAATTTTGTAAAAAATACAGAAAAACTGTAAACACATTTTTGGCCAAAAACTGTAAATTTTACAGTATAAAACTGTAATTTACAAACAAGAAAATTTGAATGTAAACCAGTAAATTCAACAATGCACACTGCTATTAAAATCTGTTTTGTACCTTTAACATACTGACAACCACCATAATAATGCAGGTGGTAAAAGAGAAAGCCACATGAAGAATCAAAGCTCATCACAAGTAGCTTCGCCACAAGCAGAAGTATATACTAATATATAGAAGGTGCATGCAAACACAAAACACCATCACGGTAACACACATGATACTTAAATAATGCATTCAACTTTCATTAAACAACAGAAGATGTAGCATAAAGCCCAAATATACATAACTAATAACAAAAACTATTTAAAAAACATTATTTAAACAACAAAATACTTGTTATTTTTACTTCTAAAAACTGTAAAATGAACAGCATTTTACTGTAAAATTACATGAAATGTCTGGCTAGATATTTTACAGTGTTTCCCTGTATATAGTACGGGAACTTACTGTTAACCTATTAACATTTTTTTCCCGTAGTGTTTTTACAAAATTTTACAGTTAAAATTACACTTAAAGACAAATTCTGATCAAAATGGCAGCTTAAGTAAAACATGAAATCTTAAAGCCATCCAGCAGATGACTCCCCTCATAAATGCCTCCAAAGGTAGTGATCACCCTCAATATCCATCCTTTCCCCATTAGCTGCAGGACTTGTTTCCTTCACATATCATTACGACGCCACAATTTACAGAACCAACCCATTCTATGGGGCCTCCCACAGTTACAGTCTGAGAAACATGATGTTCCACTGATGCTTGTGTAGCGTTGCTGGCCAGTTTTCATGTGGGAAATTCAACTGCAGCAAGTGGATATGGCGATGTTCTTTTTAGAGTTGTTTTAAACATTCTCTTGTAAGATACTGAGAGTTTTCAATTCATTTTATTTACAGTTCATTTCCATGTAAGGCTCTGTGGCTGTAAGTTTGCCGTTGTGTTGCTGGAATTGCACTGGCCTTATATTCAAGGCTTCTAAACAGCTGCCTATCTGCAGTGTCGCTCTTTCTTCAGAAGATGTCGCTGTTTCCGTTCTCAGTTCAGCTGCAGGACTTCAACCGAGGAGTCCAGAGATGCACTGAGTACGCCATTATAATGCTCCGTAGAGTGACACCGGAAATGGCAAGAAAAGGAGTGGGGCCGCCTGTATGTTTCAGCCAGGACATTCACTGGATGGACCTTCTAGGTAAACAAGTGCTTCACTCACTTAATTATATAACACTTAGTGTAAAATAAAAATGTCAATGTGTCATTCAAAATATTGTAGCTCAATCTTTTGGGGTCTTAGCGCCTCAAAATATGAATGCCACAGATTCAAGGCACAGTAAACCCTAACTAATTTGTGAAGGATGGGGGAGTCCCATGTTATGTCTTAGAACAGGAAGTGATGTCAGATTATTTTCCTGTGTGGCAGTTATTTACATGGGAGGCATAACCACTATGATTGACACAATGACTGCTGATACTTACTGCCCTTATTTGTTCAATGGTTTGAGTGGTTTTAGGGATTGAGCATCAGGGTTGACACTTGTTAAACTCTTTTCTTTCTGTCCAGTTCAGTTCCTCTGGGTAGTGTGGTTTTCATCTACTGCACTCAGGATCAGATCTCAGAAAGTGATGAGAAACTTCCATCACTTGTAAAGTGACCAGCACTGGTGAGTCTAAACTCTACACTGAGGTTGCAGGTAAACATACTCTCATATCTCTCTGTATATATTATGCAAGAAAGAAAACAAGCTGATGTCATTGATGCACTAAGTGTGAAAATATGCATTAATACGCAACCAAATCTGACTACCTGAAACCACTTTATCCACACACCCACATAGACTCATTGCACACCTGTGGGTTGTTCCCATTACAGATGTCTGCCTAACACACACTTATCTGTTTGCTCTGTGCTCATCAGTCTGAACATACGCTTTTTACATCGTACACTTAGAGGAAATGCATTGCGGATTTTACCTAGTAAACTGAACTTGTACCTTATCTACTTATCTCTATTTTTTTCTCACACTCGCTCTCTTCCCCTGTTTCACTCCTGGTAGTTCTATTTGTGTCAATAAAACTGGGTTATTTATTTGGAGCACGAAGCTGAAAGCAGCCAAAAATCCACCACAGGCCATGTGCATGTGCACACATCTCTATACACGTGAGTAAGATCGCAGGTGTGTGTTTGAGGTGGTGTGTGTGTGTGTGGGTGTGTGCGCAATGACCAACTGATCTAGCTGATATTTAACCTAATCTCTGTGAATGGGGTATTCAGAAATGTGCACATGTAAGCGCTACACCGAATCCACTCTATAGCACCACGCACTCATATTGGGGAAACATTATAATACAAACCTGATTCCAAAAAAGTTGGGACACTGTACAAATGGTGAATAAAAACAGAATGCAATGTGGAAGTTTCAAATTTCAATATTTTATTCAGAATACAATATAGATGACATATCAAATGTTTAAACTGAGAAAATGTATCATTTTAAGGGAAAAATAAGTTGATTTTAAATTTCATGGCATCAACACATCTCAAAAAAGTTGGGACAAGGCCATGTTTACCACTGTGTGGCATCCCCTCTTTTTTTTTATAACAGTCTGCAAACGTCTGGGGACTGAGGAGACAAGTTGCTCAAGTTTAGGAATAGGAATGTTGTCCCATTCTTGTCTAATACAGGCTTCTAGTTGCTCAACTGTCTTAGGTCTTCTTTGTCGCATCTTCCTCTTTATGATGCGCCAAATGTTTTCTATGGGTGAAAGATCTGGACTGCAGGCTGGCCATTTCAGTACCCGGATCCTTCTTCTACGCAGCCATGATGTTGTAATTGATGCAGTATGTGGTCTGGCATTGTCATGTTGGAAAATGCAAGATCTTCCCTGAAAGAGACGACGTCTGGATGGGAGCAACTGTTGTTCTAGAACTTGGATATACCGTTCAGCATTGATGGTGCCTTTCCAGATGTGTAAGCTGCCCATGCCACACGCACTCATGCAACCCCATACCATCAGAGATGCAGGCTTCTGAACTGAGCACTGATAACAACTTGGATTGTCCTTGTCCTCTTTAGTCCGGATGACATGGCATCCCAGTTTTCCAAAAAGAACTTCAAATTTTGATTCGTCTGACCACAGAACAGTTTTCCACTTTGCCACAGTCCATTTTAAATGAGCCTTGGCCCAGAGAAAACGCCTGCGCTTCTGGATCATGTTTAGATATGGCTTCTTTTTTGACCTATAGAGTTTTAGCCGGCAACGGCGAATGGCACGGTGGATTGTGTTCACCGACAATGTTTTCTGGAAGTATTCCTGAGCCCATGTTGTGATTTCCATTACAGTAGCATTCCTGTATGTGATGCAGTGCCGTCTAAGGGCCCGATTTGATATGTTATCTATATTCTATTGTGAATAAAATATAAGTTTATGAGATTTGTAAATTATTCCATTCCTTTTTTACTCACAATTTGTACAGTGTCACAACTTTTTTGGAATTGGGTTTGTATATTTTTTTCTTCAATAAACAAAATTGTTTTAAAAGCACTGTAAGAGATTTCTGCTAGAATAACGTGTAAAATGTTCCTACAACCTGACAGTTATGGCTGAAATAACTGTCCTGTGACTGTCTAGACTGAAAAACAGCAAAAAAAAAAAAATGAATGAATAAATAATACAGTAAAATTAAAAAATAAAAATCTATCAATCAATAAAAATAAATGAAAAAGAAAAGAAGTAGTAAGATGGAGCTGACCCACACTTTTTTTAGCCAATTGTCACGTTGCAGAAATGTATTCATTTATTTGTTTGTTTTTGAGTTATAGTTTTTGGAATTTTTGAAGTGTTTTCTGTAGTATTAAGAGTATTACAAAATAATATATAAATGTTTCACTTGTATTATTAGGAATTACTTTTATTTTTGTACGATTTAATAAAATTTCTTAACACTTAAATTACAGTAAAAAAAACAGTAATCTCTATGCACTTGTCTTTCCTATAGAAAGAAGCAAGATATCCATCGTATCCATATTGTGCTTGCATGAAATCCATTTGGTGTGAGTTTCACATTCTGCATATATTCCAGTAAAGAGAACTGACTGACACCGCAGTGTTACGGTAATGAATGACACATTGTCCACATCAGAGGAGTGTACATTCATATGTGGAGACTTTAAACTCAGCATCTCTGTGTAAATACTGCCATGCGGTGCAGTGCGACTTATGCCTTGCTACCACTCATGGGCATGTGAAGCTGGAGCTTTACAGATAAATATATGTATAATTGTTGTCTTATCGCCTTGTTATCCTCATGTGAATCTGACTTGGATAGATAGAAAGAAACATCTAGAACTAGGCCCCTGCAGTCTCCCACAGGCCTCTCGCATATGATGTATGTAGGACACAGTCTGAGGTGGGTTTCTATCTATGGAGATGTGTTGAGTGTCTGGTCAAGTGGGCTTTGCGTGATGGCTTCTGTGGGAACACTTCAACATAGCTCTGCGGGGAGATATTTTCCATTCGTGGTGTTAACGTTCAAACCTGGGTCTGACCAAAATGCCATTTCCATCATCTCACCGTTGCCTCTGCTGAGATCCATTTTACTGGCAGTTCAAAAATTTTAGTCAAAACCTAGCCTTTACATTGACGTTGCCGAGACATGCCGGCTTTTTATACTGTTAATAATTAGAAACACAATTACACTCTTAAAAATAAAGGTGCTTAAAAGTTTCTACACAGCGATGCCATAGAAGAACCATTTTTGGTTCCACAAAGAACCGTTCATTCATCTCTTTCTTACCTTTTTATAATCTGAAGAACCTTCTTTCGCCCCATTAAGAACCTTTTGTGAAACAGAAAGGTTCTTCAGATGTTAAAGGTTTTTTGTGGAACCATTTAGACAAAAAGGTTCTTCTATGACATCGTGAATCATGAATTTTTAAGAGTGTAATAAATATTACAATAAATAACCAGCTCTCTGCTGGAGAACCCATTAAGGTGTGATCACATTTACTGTTATTCGGCAAATTTTCGATCATGAAATAGAATCATTTTAATAGGAATTCATGTGATCAGGAAATTTTTCATGAAGGTGAAAGACTTTCTTATGCAGATTTCACATCAGGGTCAAGCTGGACATGCAAATTTGCTGCACTGACCGACAACAAGCTGCTTGGTTTTAAAGTAAGTTCTGTGTGAGCTGTGCTTCATACATCGCTTTACTAGAGAGGCCCAATGCAGTATACTGTATAGGTCCCAGTGCTGCCAATGACTGGGGGTGCTTGTGGTCATTTACACTGTTTGTGCTGAGGATTCCTATAGTAATCTCAATTTTGGAGGACCATGACAGTTTGAAGCCCTGTCTCTGGTCCTTGAATGTCTGGAACAGACATTCATATAATATAGACCTAAAGGGATAGAATACCCCAAAATGAAAATTCTGTCATTGTTTACTCATCCTATAGATGTTGCAAACCAGTATGATTTTCTTTCTTCTGTTCAACACAAAAGAAGACATTTTGAAGAATGTTGGCAACCAGTCAGTTGACTATACTGACTTCTAAAATATGGAAAAAAGTACTATGGAAGTTAATGGCTACCATCAACTTGGTGAGTAAATGATGACTGAAATTTCATTGAACTATCCCTTTAATAAATTAATACCAATGCCAGATGTACTGTATATTTCTATGCCATAAAATAAGTTTAGGGAAAGTGGATAAAGATTAAAGTGTACATTGATACAATGTCATCAATATTTACCAGTGGAATGCATTATAGTGTGTATGGACACACTGACATACACTCTTAAAAATAAAGGGTCCAAAGGGGGTGTTTTTGCAGTGAAAAGAACCATTTTTGCTTCCCAAAAGAACCTTTCAGTGATCAGTCCCTAAAAGAACCATTTTGAAGAACATTTAAAAAATCGAAAGAACTTTTTTCTGCATTTGAAAGGTTCCATGGTTGTTCAAGGTTCTTCATTCATAGAACCATTGATGCCAATAAAGAACCTTTATTTTTAAGAGTGTAGTGTTCTCCTGTCATCCGGTGACAGCTGAATTGACATTACATAACACATGAGGATTATTGGCCTTGTGCCTTAAACCAGTGAAACTTCTCTCTTTATAAAAGAAAAAAGACATATTAGACACCTGAGAGATAAATTATAGAGTTACATTAAAATGTTTAAACATTATTATTTTATCTAGTTACTAGTTTGGTAGCTAGCCTACTATATATAAAATGTCTTCAGAACAGATTTTTGTTTTTTAAGCAAAAAAATGTGTCTTGTGGTGTAGTGTCATGTTATTTATACATTTAAATAATGCACATAACATTAAAGTGGACTGGACAGAAAGCCTCATAAAGTGCTCTTCAGTCTCCAGTTAAAAGCATTACTCTCTCGCTTCCCGCGACTATTACATAATGATTGATGACATAACACCGTACTGGCTCGGGACAGCGCGAGCGCTGTGCGAGCCGGAGGCCACTCGGTCGATTTATCCAACAAGTGTCTGTCCGTCTCTCTCTTTCTCCAACTCTGTCCTGGACCGCTCAACGATTTGTCTTTCCCTTTGAAATGTCAATTACGCACGTTAGTTACATTCTAACGACACCGGAGCGGGGAGACGTGTTGACTGAAACCTTGTTTGTTTGTTTATTGACCAGACGCGCCAACTTTTAGTGAATAATTGAAAATGGCGAGGTGCTTGTTAAAACGTTTGCGGCGTCCCGGTCGTTAAAGTGTCAGCAGTTGTCATTTTCCTTTTGTTTTCTTTATTTTAAGTTGGATTTTAGTTTAATTAGTTTGATTTAGTTACCCCATAACCACAAACGATTCGGGAAAGAGGTGTGTTGGCGGACAGAGTTTTGACTGGAAAGTAATGGAAAATGATGAGCCTGCATCACCGGACCCGAGCCATGACAGCACCCAGAGTAAAAGAGGTAAGCGTGTCCTTCTTTAACCCATTACATACCTAAATACTGCATTAGTGGGAAATGATCTCAGATTGTGTGTGTGTGTGTGTGTGTGCGCGCGCGCGCGTTTTTGTGACAAATGAGGACATAAATTTGTATAATGACAAAGGTATGACACAGGTATTACAAGGAGAAGGTGACTTTTCAGGACATTACCCCATGTCCCCACTTTTCAAAACGCTTATAAATCACACAGAATGGAGTGTATTGAAAATCTGAAATAGCACAAAGTTTCCTGTAAGGGGTAGGGTTGGTGTAGGGCAATAGAATATATGGTCTGTACAGTATAAAAACCATTACGCCTATGGGATGTCCCCACTTTTCACAAAAACAAACCTGTGTGTGTGTGTGTGAATGAGAGAAAGTTTCACACACTTGTGAAACGTGGAACAAACTCGCACACGCATTCAGTCATAGATATGAGACCAGTGGCACTCTAAAAATACACCCCCTTATGTGACAGAAGTGCCTGTCTGTGTGCCAGCAGTCCTACACTAACCCACAGCGCTTGTGCCAAGCCTGTGCCAAGCGAGCCAGCGAAACCACAACGCTGTGACTTCTGTCACTTCTCCCTCTGATCCAGCGTGCATTCACAAGAGTGTGCTGTGCTGTCTTATCTATTCTTGTTGAACGTGCAGTGTCACGTCTTCAAGTTTGGGAGTTAAACTTTTGCGGTGTGACAAATTAACTTTGTAAAATTCTATGTACATTCTTAAAAATAAAGGTTCTTTATTGGCATCAATGATTCCATTAAGAACCTTTAACATTGATGGAATCGCTCCAATGTGTTTTTTATAGTGCAAAAATGTTCTTTCGATTATTAAAATGTTCTTGTTATTAAAATAAAAAATTTGAATAGTACATAAAAGTGAGCACATTTTTGTAGTTATTTTTAAGTTAGGCTATATCTCCGTAATATATATGGACATTAGGCTATTAATTGTGTGCCTGATTGTTTCTCAGAGACAGGGAAGGAACAAAAAGTCAGGGAAATAAAAGAAAAAAAAGGGAATGGAAAGCGATACCCATTGACCAAGTAGCACAGAGATAAGACTATACTTTAGTTACTGAAATGGAATTCCCTCAAGGGTGTCTTATTAGGATCTTGCAACCCAATAGGTCTCTTTAGGGCCTTATTCAACTGAAAGAGTATTGCTTTAATTGGAAACTGGTGTATTGGGTTATCTGAAGTTGAACTGTTGGCTATTTCACTATTACGACATTCTTTCGCTGAGATCAGTTTGTTCAGTGACCTTATTCTGTGTAAACTGGAAGTTAATGCAGATGTGTAGCTTGTTAACCATTAACCCCTTTCATGCAATACGTGTTCAGGCAAAACTTTACAAGGAAAGTGGATTATTTAATTCTATTTAAATTAGTATAAAAGAATCGATTTCAGTTGTTTTTGATGTCATTATTTAGTCTAAATGGCATGAAAGGTTGTTGCACTTTAATATATTGAATTATGCAAGATTAGTTTGCTCAGTGTTGTATTTCATATAACGGTATTTGTAATGTTTTTAAAAAATATTTTTCATCTTCTCAAACAATGCTTTCACAAACAGTAGGACTTGTTATACATTGCAACAAATAGAAACGCATATAATCCATATATTAAGAAAGTATAAACCCTGTGTCATAACCTCCTGCCCTCTTGTTACGCACCCATCGCCGCCACTCTCTTCATGCAGCCCTCTTATCTAAACACATTTATCCCTGTTCTCACACTTCCCTTATCTGACACTCCTTTTCTGCTCTTCTCACTGTATCATCTAAACACACTTTCCCTCTGTTTTGAACTCCTCCACATTCACTTTCTGTTCTGTTCTATCTGCTTCTGTCCTTTGATGAGCTCCCACTTGCACCTGTGTACTTGCACCTTATATCTCTCGTGTATATCATAAGCTTAACTTTCCCATTTTGAGTCAACATCTCATCCCTGTGTTCACCTGTGCACACGCTATAGTGCTTATCAGCGTCTTTATATTTTCAGTCACAGACCCTTACACTTTTAAAATCAAAGTTTCTTTCAAGCCTCTTATCAAAAAACTTTTTTTGTTCTTAAAGTGGTTAAATGCTCCTTGGAGATATATTGCAATGTTCCGGGTTCAGTACAAGTCTATGGATTAAGACAGTAGTTTCTATTCTTTCTTCAGTGAAGGAAACCCATATAAATGCCCTTACAATGGAAATAGACTTTGGAATTACATTAATAAACATTGTTTTAAAATTATAGTTACATTATGTGTTAACATTAGACATGAGTTATATCCAGTTTTTAACTCCAGCAAATTAAAGCTGGTAAACACAACAGAATTTCCCACAGTGTGCTCTAAAATATGCAAAAGGGAAAATCTAGCCAAAGGATTTATATCTGCAATGCATAACCTGGGGCTTATTAATCTAGAACAGAAGCCTCACTGCTAAATTCTAGACAACTTTACCCCCAAATAACATTTTTGTTTGAAATTTATTGTTGAATTTAATATCTTTGGTAATTAACCGCATATCACTGGCATTCCTTTAAAGGTCCCATTAATTTTTCTCCTGTTAATGGATGATATGTAGATTCAATGGTGGTCTGAAGAAGCTACAAAGTAGCATCAATAACAATCCCCTAAATAAGGGATAGTTCTCATGAAAAGGAACATTCTGTCATCATTTACTCACCATAATGTCATTCCAAACCTGCATGACTTTTTTTGTTTTTGTGGAACATCAAAGAAGATATTTTGAGAAATGTCTCAGTGGGGTTTTTTGTCCATACAGTAGAAGTCAACGGCAACCAAAACTGTATGTTTACCAGCATTCTTCAAAATATCTTCTGATGAGAAAGCAAAGCACTCCGCTTTCATGAGCAGAGTTAGGCCGTGTGTGTGTAAACGTTATTACTGATATTTTAACCACCTGGAGTCCTTTAGTTTGTTATATCACATCCACAATTTTCCACTCCTGAATGCAGAAATCTCTTTCAGACTCTTCTAATGTTTACCGCTAGATGCATCTGTGTTATTACTTCAGTGTTTTCTCTCACTATTTATTTAGCTTTTTTACTCTCTGATTCTCTCATTCTCTCTAACTTACACTCATATCACTTTGCCAGAAATACTGTAAATACTTCTGTGTAGTAAGAATGGACATAATCTGGATTAAAGGAAAGATTAGTGTTTAGTGAGTGTCTTTGGATTCCTGATCTATTTCCAGAAGCCGATTGGCTAATTTGAGATCCAAAAGCTTATACCTCCACTACCCCACTACACGGATTACCTGCTTTCACACACACAAACCTCTCTCACACACATTGCAACACTCTTTCACAGTTTCTTCCCAAGCTGATATGTGAATACGGTGTGTACGAAGGCAGAGTGTGACATTTGACAAAACACGGGGGAGATTTTATACTGGTGGGAGTGAGAAAGAACTTTAAAGACTGAACAGAGGAAGAGATGGGTGCGAAACAAAAGGAAACCACAGAGTATTGAAACACTCAACGACAATATGGCATGTGTTACCTTTTAGCGGTTTATGAATCTACATATATGAGGCAAATCTTGAGACTCATGATAATGTCAATGGTTGTCAACTGAAAACTGAAATAACTTTGATGCTCTGTGTTGTATCTTTACAGTTATTCATGAAGGTTAATTTTCATTCACAGCTAGTTGAGCTCAAAGCACTTTTTAGAAGTTAGTCTCTCAGGATGGGTCAGTTTTTCGTTTTTATAGGATGTTGTTGACTTGTTGATTTCCCTTGTATAGTGGCAGGGGTCCTCAGAGACTTCTTGTTATGGAAAAACAGAGGACAACTGCCACCAGTTTCCAGCAGCTTAACGCCCTGCAGCTCTTGACTGGTTACCCACTGAAGCTAAGCAGGGTTAAGCCTGGTTAGTTCCTGGATAGTTGACCTCTTGTTTCACTGCCCAGGGAGTTGGCAGTTTTTTAGGACTGCTCCATTGTCAAGAATACAGTGCGCTAAAACATTGCTCCTTCTAGAACTTCCCTGAATGCACTAGTGAACACAGGCTCCTCACTGTACTTATATTTTCTGAAATATTCTCTTGTCTTTTTCAGTCTGTTAAGTCATCAGATTTAGGACAACCTCATATTACAGCATTGCTGTACTTTTTATTACAGTTAAGTAAGATGCACAATAAACAAAATGAATGATGATCAGCTGTGGTGACAAACAACGATGATCAAGGTCCTTGCTAGTGCCTTAATTTGATTCATAGTATACTGATTCATGTCATAGGAAGCTTGGACACATCATAGATACAGGTTGCAGAGGAAGAGGCTTTAGAGAAGTTAGCAGGGGCCCTGCGGTCTGCCTGGGTACTAATAGTAATGGGGACACTCTGCCTTTTCTAGGGCATTATGGATGCCATTGCATCATCCAGGTGGTTGAGGAGATTCCCACAACATGTGCTTCATGTGAAAGTTGAAGAAAACATCTGTACAAGTGCATGGACATACACATTCGTTTTGTCACCAAGAGTGATTGACCATTTCTTTGTTTCCAGCCATTTACTCTCTGGGCAAGTCTTCAGAGCTTGACACTGGAATTTATTTAGTTATTCTAAAGTTTGATGGGAATCTTTTGCCAGGGCTAGTGTTGTTGAAAGTATAAAATCAATACTGAAACTAAAAAAATGTAACAGTAGGTGCTGCTTTCAAACACTTGCATTGAGCGCTGCAGCCAATCACAGACATTTATGTCAAGAGCATGAATGCAATGGCCAATCAGATGTGTTTAAGTTAGTAAGAATCCACTTCATATCTATCAAAGCGGATGTTTTCGCGAGTTCATCGACTAGTACTGCATGCTCGCAAATCCTAAAGAGTGACACACTGATCATCGTAGCAGTGAACGGGATAAAAATTCTGACATGTCAAAATAGAGCTGTGCATTAAAACTTGGAGTATAAATACATATTTTAAGAGTAGTGTTTACTTATCAAAATAGTTGAAGTTTTGTTGGTTTCATGTATTATTTAGTTTACAAATGTAATTGACATTTACATTTTTTTATTTTCGATTAGAGTTTAAATAGTTTTTGCTATGGTACCAAAACTGGTGGAGTGAACCATGCATTTTTACTGGTATTTAATTGAAATTTTGGTATTGTGACATCACTAGCCAGGGCAGTCTACAACGTTTTTTGGGTTTAAGATGCTCATGCACAGTTCTCTCCTATTCCTCCTTTATGAGTCTTATTGTGTGGGATTATTGCTTTCACAAGACACTCAGCTCTGGGAATGTTCACAGTTGCACCTTTTAAATGCTTTAAAACTTCAGTGTCTTCATGTGACTTGGAGAGGAAAATTAAAAAAAATACTGTTGAAGTGGACAAATATGTATGGTTTTTCAAATTCAGTATGGTTTCTTTTTGTAGATCTATTAAATGTGTAGGATGTGTAGTAATGACTTATTATAGATATTGTAGCTGTCACCTGACAAGTGTTGTTCCGTGCAAGCAAGATGATAAGTTTACGTCAGGCACTGATAACAGAGGCCCACATGTCAGTTTGCTCTATCTGTGTGTTTTTCAGAGTGTCTAGACTGTTACTTTGATGTTTTAATGACTTAATTTGCTAATTTGTAGATATGTGTTCCTTATGTGTTACCATTTTAGCGATCATGCTAAAGACGTAGTGATAGTGAGTTCTGAATAAGTGTGATTGTTTGTTCTCAAAGGACGTTAACTCAAGCACACAAAATCTCTCTTTCTTTGTCTCTGGTCCTGTAATAGCTGCATGGTCAAGTAACTGTGCTAGTTTGCCAGAATGGATTGATAAGTAGTGTAATCAGGGCTTGTCTGGGTTATCCAACTGCATTTAGATCTGTTACCATGGTGCCTTATATCACCCTGATCATTCAGGTACCACAGATAATCCTTTAATCTGCCATCAAACGATGAACGTCGTTGCTCTGTTACGCCTATAAACATAAATTCATGCATCCTACTGACCGAAAAATCATACCGAAAACAGCATTGGTCATTTTTTTGCTATTAGGCAAATCGAGTTGTGAAATACCTGCTTTGAGAGTCTTTGTTTCCAAGTACGTCTGCAAGTCGCCACGCACCTATTTGTGTGTTCCGCTACATAAGCAAAAGTGACTTTTTCAAAAAGCCACAAAGCCCTTCAAAGAACGAGTGAGACAGCCGGAGTAAGAGACAGACAGAGAAAGTAAGAGAGAGAGAGGCCAAGTCTTTTTCCCAGTGATGGTTATCGTACCTGCCCTGTGTCTTCAGACAGACACACTGCTAAAAATACCCATCGGAAACGGCCAACACAGCATCAAATCTGAACTTTCTTAAAGTGTGGTCAAACGTCAGACAACGGAGATTGCTGTTTGTGTTCACGTGTGGGCTGGGATGGGGGTTAAAGGGGGCTTTTCATGTGAATGATGATGTGTGTTTGTGCTTTCATGCCAATAAAAGCATGCTTGTGATGTGTGTTTGTGTACATGTGCACGCATACATTTTACAGTTTTAGTTGTTTAGTATGTGTAGGTGTGTGAATAACACTGACACTTTCCATGAATTCCCTAACTAAGCCCTAGTACTCTTAGAAATGTTGGGTTTTCTTAAGCATGTGCTTAAAAATTTTAATTATTAAAGAGATAGTTTCTTTCTTTTGCTGAACACAAAATAAGATCTTTTGAAGAATGTGGGTAACCAAACAGTTGCTGGTCCCCAATGAAATTCCATAGTAATTTTTTTCCATATGGGGACCATCAACAGTTTGGTTACCAACCGAATCAAAAAATATTTTTTATGTTCCATGGAAGAAAATAACTCACAGGTTTGGAACAACTTGAGGGTGAGTAAATGATGACAGAATTTTAATTTTTGTGTGGTCTATCCCTTTAACTTCAATTAAAATATGACCTGTTTTTTTTTTAATCCTGTTAACAAATTTGAGATATGTCTAAACCTGATTTGTGTGACTTGTTGTTTTTAGCAATAAACATTAAATAAACACCAAATTTAAATCAAATTGAAATGTAATTAAATCTAATAAAATAAAAATCAGAATGAGTAACAGGTTGTTAATTTACTATAAATTAAGCCGTCACTCAGTAGACTCTAGCTAATTTGACCCAAGTTTTGATTTGTAGTTATTGATAAACTTGTATAAGAAAAAAATATTTCCTTGATAATTATGATTTATGGATTAACAAGGTTGAAAGCTTTACAAATGCAACAAGTAGGACACAGCTAATTTTCAGTAATGAAAATGAAATTGTTTTATTTTAATAATTAATTAAAAGAATTGAATTTACTTCCCCAAAAAATAAAAAATAAAACAGATGATGTCAAAATTTTGCCATTGTGGTGTGATTTCATTTTTTTCCAATAGAGTCTGATATAGAGACAGGCCTGTGTTTACAACTATAGTTACATTTCATGCTACATCCCGATTATGTTGAATTTCTTATTTAACATATTTAGAACATATATAGTTACACGAAACATATTAATTTCCTAACTACCTATTGTTTTGTGCCCTTCTTTAGGAAATCAAGTGCACAAGATATCCCATCTAAGTAAGTACAACTGAGAATCTCAACCATTCAGTTATACACTGTCTGTTCACTCTGTGTAGCTGTGCAAGTATGTTATATAGTCAAGCACAATAGCAGTTTCCTAGTGTGTGCATGCTTTGAAAGGTGGCTTGTTTAACCCCCTTTGCATGTTGTTTTTTGCATATCAGAGAACCCCTCCATTGTGGTTATAGGGAGAAGGGGGGCCTGTATCAGTGTAGCAAAGCGGTGCATTATTACACCTGTAAAGAACACACACACAAACACAATGCACCTGTATCCACATATATTTTTACTTCAGCCACAAAAGCTGTATGTTTAAACGTGGGCAAAGCTACCGTAGACACGCACGCACAGGTGTGCACAGCTATGGGTGTGTGCATCTGAATGAAGATAAGATCTGAGAGTATTTTGGTGAAAAGATGCTGTTTAAAACTCTTCCCGCTTTTGTGTTTGATTACAAGCGTGCATTGTGTAAGTCTTCTGCTCTTTCTTTCCTTCCTTATCTCCTTTAATTTTTTGTTTTATTTTTGCATTTAAATTTGAACTTTGTGGCAATGTCCACTTGGTCATTTGATCTTTTTAGATCCTTCTATAAATTAGTTTCTCAGTCAAATTCAATTTATAAAAATGTTAGGAAACCCTTAAAGGAAATAAAAAAGAGTTTGTTTCATATCAAATTTGTGTACTGGCTTTATTTGAATGTGACTGTAGGTGGATTAGAAAACATGCAGAGCGTGGTTGGACCATGATTCATAATGACAAGCAATAACAACTCTATCGTATGCTGTGGCACCAATATCACATGACAATCTTAAACAGCTTGTTTACACCAATACCCTCTACCACCTATCAGACCAGCCTCACATCCTTTCTTAACGGTTCCTAATAGCCAACAAGACAATACTTTACCATTTAAATGCTGCTTTCTCCTTTAATCAAGTAGAGAAAAGGTACAAATCTGTCACTGGGGCATTATCCTTTCAAAAGACACTAATATGTAATATTTAGGTACTAATATTATGCACCTTCAACATATTAATATGCACCCTTTACGAGTAAAAAAAAAAAAAAAGGGTAACACTTTAAGGTTTCCATGTTACACGTTACATGTACTTAATATTATAATAACAATAAATTATGCATAATTACATGCAAGTAACCCTAAGACAAACCCTAACCATATAGTAAGTACATGTAGTTATTTAATATTACTCAGTACTTAAATGTATTATTACACTGTAACAAGGACACCTTAAAATAAAGTGTAAACAAAAAAAGTCTAAAAGTGTACATTTCGAAAAGTTACCGTCCCAGTGACAGCTTTTGTACCTTTTTTCCCTGAAAGCACAATCCAAAGAACAAAGTATTCAGGATGGTTTGATACTATTTGGGAGTTTTTAGTTGTGTGTGTGCACTGATGGAAAGTGAGAGGGATAGAGTGAGGAATTCAGGATTTCAGGATGCAATGAAGACAAACATACAGAGGTGAGCTGCTCACTGCTGAAATGGAAAGAGAAAGAGAAAGTAGAGTCCACCTATAGACGGACAGAGAAACAGCACATAAAGTGCTTTAGAAGAGACATCATGCGTGTGTGACAGAGAGAGGTGTAGTTTGAAAAGGACAGACCCTCTCCCTCTGTGTCACTCGCGGATAGAAACACACATCTCTCTCTGTCACCTACCGACCGAAAACCACCTAATCTCTCTGTCATCTCCCACCGTGCGACAGCATCATCTGTTCAGAAGTTTGATTAACTGTGAGACAGAGCTGTCAACCATATTCACATGCTGTGAAGATGATGCGAGGTAGGCATTTATGTTTTGTGTCTGGCCTAATAAGTATGTATTTTTACTGATGTTTCTGTGGGTGTGTGACAAATGTTTGTATGCATCACATTGGATGCATCCTTGTGTCTTTGAAAGTAATGGGTTTCATTTTGGTTAGAGCAACTTATAAGTTGCAAAACACTTTTGTGTCTATTTTACTCTTCCGTTTTCCGCTCATCAAACTCGAGTTTAGGACATAGTGATTATATATCCATTGCTTTCAGTCTCTCCGTTTGACCTTTTTGGAGTTTCGCTGTGTTGTTTGTAGTTGTACGCGACTCATTCCGCCATATTAACACGTCCGAGACTTCAGAGATGGATGATGGACATCCTGAAGGACCTTGATATGCAGGATTTTGTAGGAATACAGAAAGCAGTGTAGATCTGATTTTGAAATCAGGACTTGTATTTATAATTTCTTTATAAATTCAAAATACCTTTGCATTACCTGATGAACCTGATACACAACATAAGAATCAATGTTTTATTTAAGAGAATGTATGTGCCTTTTATAATTTGAAATGTTTTTAAATATTCAGATTGACTTGATAAGAAGATTGTGCAGGAAAGTTTAATTTACTTTAATTCATTCATATATATTTGCCATGCAGCTTCTTTCATTCTAATTCTATTTTTCATACTTGGTTTGTGTTTGCTTTTACCATGTGTAATTTATTAATGGCTTTAACAGTAGACTCGTGTGTGTGTGTGTGTGTGTGTGTGTGTGTGTGTGTGTGAAGTGGTCCAGCGTGGGTGTGTGACTCTACCTGTTCTCACTGAGTTTAGTAATAGGGATTTTCACACATTCAACATCAAATATGCCATTTCCGTTTCCAGTTCACCTTTGAGCCTAAGGCACAACATTAGTTTAGTCTAAAATCTGGTTTGACATGAAAAACGGAATAAACACATTGGAAATTGATGCAGAAAGTATCCTTTTTATTTAACTTGGTACTTTCTTTGAATCTGAACAAAGTCTTATAAATGATTTGAAATAACAGGACTTTTCTATGCAAAGTTGTTCAAACATACAAAAAACACTATGTTTGTAACTCTTGCAGTCTACACAATCATGCGAATATATCCTAAATGAATTGTGAATTTATCAGTTCTTTTGTACAGTGCTTTTCAACAAAAATAAGGCAGATAATTATTTCGATTTTTTATAGATATAAACTTTATATAGATCCATAAACTCACAATAAATTAACAATAGAGACAGTGACAGATAAGGTCGATAAGTAATCAGTTCAGTCACAAACCTGGCAAGCCACAATATTGTTTAATGGTCAGATAAATTGATTATTAGTTTATCTTGTGCTTTGTGGCTGTTATGATTAGTACCACAACTATAGATATGATTGTGTGACTACAGATAAAGGGTTTAACGTGCAGATTATCTCATTAATAATACAAACACTGCAAGATAAGGTCTCGCTTACAGAAACTCTCTGAATTTAACATTTTCAGTTTTGAGTCATTGTGTTTGGCCTAAACAGAATGAACACAAAGTAACAGCTAAAAGGATAAAGGCGATCTTTAATTCTCCCTCTATTTTTGTTTACTTTGTCCTGAAACCCACACAGACAAAAACTGAGGACCCCGAAAGTATCAGATGATGCTCGTTTGTGAGGCTTGTGGTTGTGGACATTGTTCAGAAATGACTCTCAAATAGGCATTTTTGTACAATCCCCTAAAACTGAATTTTCCGTAGCAGCCCACATCACGCATGTGGTTAAATATCTGCTCATCAAAATTGCTACAATTCAAGCAGGACTTGCTGAACTCAGCTGTGCTGTATCTTATCACTTTGCATTATCTGATGCCGGTTTGCACTGAAGCTCTCGCTGTAGTCCAACACCCTGAAACCCTGAAAGCTTTTTTTTTGTGTGTGTGATTAAAAAAAGCACCGTAAAAGAATTCCAGATTCCAACCACACCTGAGTCTGTCTCACCTCTTGCATTGATTTTCATTTAAAAATGACATTTTCTATTGTGTGTGCATGCACTCGCGTAAAATAATTTCTCATAATCTTAATAAATGCTTAAATGCTGGATTGATGTAAACTGTGCCTACGCATTTCTTAGCAAAAAATGCTCATTTTTGAATTTTAATAACAAAACATAAACTGTTGAAAAAACATACCAGGGATGCACCTCATGAAGTTGGTTTAAAGAGAATGAACAGCAAAGTTAAAGAAAGTGAAATAAAAGATAGTTTTGATTTTATTTAATATTTTAGTCACTGCGTAATCCATATGTTACTTTATATTTGAATAACTTTAGTACTTTTTTAAAACATTGAAAATGTCCAGACTGCTAACTTTATATAATACTTTATTTATATTTGATTAAAAGCTAATCTTTAAGCATTTCTTTAAAGAATAAGGTTTGACGATACGTTAATTAAAATTAGCCTTATTTAAGAACAGAATCAGAAGCTATCTGAAATTTATGTGGACAGTTTACTATGGTTCTAATGCACAAAAGGCCTAAAAGGTCCTCTTTTCGTTCCGTATAAAGAAAGACAGAAAGAAGCACTGCTTTAGTCAGTCAGACTGAGGCAGAGAGGAAGGTACAAGCAGAGAGACCTTCCGGGATAGCTGTTTTGATCTTCATCCGATGAACGCAGCCGGAAAGAAATTTGGTGGATTTTATTGAATACACTTTTTGGTTTTATACGCACATTTAGAAAACATACAAAGTGAGGCATTTTGCAACGTTGCACTAGATTCTAACTGCACACACACATACTTTCTGAATTTACTGCCAATGAACGCTTCACCAGCTGCAAGACTGCGCTGTTCTGCACTGTGGTCACCCGTTCAGTCCCTGTGTGTGAGTCTGTGTGTATGTTGGCACACACATACGTGTGTATGTGCACAGGTGTGCGTGCAGAGCTTTTGTCTGAATGCTGTTTTTCCATCACCTACATTTTGGCTGGTTTTTCTCCGATGTTACCAAGTAAAACAGTGCAATCAAAAAGAACAAAAGTTTAAGAACTGACTTTTTGAATTTTATATATATATATATATAAAAATGAAAATATATATTTTTTAAATCAGATCTGATCTGTTTTCATATAGACCAAAGGCTTATGAAACTGAATGTTACGAAAGGAAAGTTGAAACTCGTAAATGTGCTCCGCACACTGATACGTGTATAAATTTACCG